ATTCTATTCTATTCTATTCTATTCTATTCTATTCTATTCTATTCTACTCTACCCTACCCTATTCAACTGAAGGAACAGAGGTGTAACCTTAGATTTCCATGGCCAGTTTATGGCTCATCCAGTTTAAGATCATGAGTATAATCTATGGCTCTCATTTCCCACAATTATGCCTACTAGCTTGATTTTTTTATATACACACACATCCATTTTAATCCCAAGGACCCCATAGGGTAGAAGGCTTCGATGTCCACAGCTTCACTGATGCTGACTACTGGATGAATGTCCAAGGGCAGAGAATTTTCCTCCCAAAATCATCGGATGTGCCCCATGGGATTTGGGGGGGGGGAGGTGAATGGGGTGGCCTGGTGTACAACTGATGCATGTCCAGAGCCTGAAGAAGAACTCAAATAAGGATTGCTGGTACTACCCTCAAGTGGCTACCTGGAGATGCTTCTGCCTAAGGACTGTGAGCCCCTTGTACCTGCATTTATCTTTTGACCAAACCATCCTTAAAAAGCAACAGCTCATGTTGGATGGGGACCCCAGAGGTAGCAGGATATTAACCCCTTATGGGCAGAGCCATGTTGGAGTAAAATATGGACTCCCCAATGATTTTGCCTCCTGACCTCTCTGCATACTTTTCCCTTTGGCCCATGCTGCTTGTTTGCTGAGAGTTTGGGGAGGTGGGAGGGGGTTTCCCCTGAAACTGTCTCTGGCCTTTTGTCCTTGGAACAATGGTGGAGCTTGTGGGAGCCCTGGAGAGCAGACGTGCAACCCAATTTATTCTCTCATGATGCTTGAAGCCAGGTGGCTTCAAATTTCTATACTTATTCTAGTCAATCGACCAGCTCTTTGTTAAAACCTGCTTTGCTGGTTTTCTTGGCAGAAGCAGAGAACTATTACCTACTGCTTTCTTCTAGAATGTGGTTTGATTTCCCAGTCTGCCTTGCTGTCTCGATATGCCCTGTAGCTGCTCCATCCAAATATGAAGCTTATTTTCTGACACTAAGGAAGTAGGCATCGAACGGGCGTGGTCATCTCTGGAGGCTTCACTTCCAGAGCAATATATATAGCAATATAGCAGTAGACTTATATACCGCTTCA